AGGGTGGGGTTAGCTGCAGCATGCTGAGAAGGGTTCTTTGGTCCTGTTGGGCTCCTGGGTGCTCCTTGTAGTGCTGATTTACTGTGGAGGATTGTCTTAGGCTAATGACAATCTGTCTTATCAGGGGGAATGGGCTCATTCCACGCCATGATCAATTCCATGGTGCATGTTGTCATGTACTTCTACTACGGGCTCTCGGCAGCAGGACCTGCTTTTCAGAAGTACCTGTGGTGGAAGAAGCACATCACAGCCATCCAGCTGGTGAGTCTGTGCTGTGGAGCAGAGCATATGCCCTCAACCTTTGGTGTGAGGGGCAGGCCAGCCCTCATTCCTATGGAAGGTGAAGCCAGCAGCTGTAGTTGTCTACTCTGTAGCCCTTCACTCGTGAGTTTTTAGCAGCTCTGGCTTGCTGTGGGCCTCTGATAGCACTGCCAGTCTTCTCAGGGTGTGGGTGCTGCTCAGCTGGATGCCCCTGGGCTGCAGCCACTTTGGGAGGGTGAGAGGCACATGTCACCTTGAGATTTGTGCGTGCCTCTTCCATCTGCTGCTGGCTGTGCCTCACCATAAGGACCTCTACTTTAGAGTGGGAAAGGAGCCTGTTGGTTTAATGTAGAAAGGAGGTCTCTAGTGGGATCTCTGACCCTTCTCCCATAACTTGTCCCTGCTCTGCTCTGCTTCCAGGCACAGTTTGTGATTGTCTCCGTCCACATCTCCCAGTATTACTTCATGCCCAGCTGCCAATACCAGTTCCCCATCTTCATCCACCTCATCTGGATTTATGGGACCATCTTCTTCATCCTCTTCTCCAACTTTTGGTACCAGTCCTACACCAAGGGCAAACGGTTGCCCAGAGCAGCTCAGCACAACGGTAGCAGCATCCATGAGAATGGCACTGTCACCAATGGCAAGGTCAAAGCCAACTAGAGGGCAAGGCCCTCCCAGAGCCAATGAGAGCCCCGGGGCAGAGGCAGCTGGGACCTGTTCCCCTGCTCCTGGGTGCCACTAGCCAAGTCAAGTGCCTACAGACTGTTGTACCCCTGTGCCCAGCCCTGCTGTCCTCTGTCTGCATGCCCAGCCCCTCTGCTCTGAGCAGCCATGGGCAACTTCTCCTGCTCCTGAGAGGGCTCGTGCTGTTTCTCAGTGTTGCTGAGCAGAGAGGCAGCTGCCTGCATCACAGCTGTGGGGCTGCAGTCCCATTCCAGTGTTTCCAAAGGAATTCCCCCAAGTGCCTACATCTGGCCCTTCTGTCTGGGGGCCATTTCCTTCTGAGTAGGACCAAAAGAAGAGACTGATCCCTGTCCTGGTGCCCTCTCCTCTTCCCTGTCTCATGAGAGCCTGCAGGGATGAGCAGACTTGTCCCTGGGTGCTTGCCGCTGCCAGCTCAAGCGCGAGTGCTCCTGCTCCACCATGCCTTGTGCCACTCTGTTCTGTGCCACAGTGCCACCTGTCCCTTCTGGCCCCCATGTGCCCTGGGGAGGGTTCCTGCCCCGGCCCTGGTGCGGCTGTAGAGGATGCGGGGGCAGCGTGTGTGGGACTGGAGGGCCCAGACCTGCCCCGTGTCCCGTGTGCAGCGGGGGCTGTGACTGCCTGAAATGCCTTCCCCATGTGACGAGCCCAGGTTGCCTTGCCTTTCTGTGCCTGCGCTGGGTGCTCCACGTGTGCTTTAGCCACACTTACCTGATCCTGTTTGGCAGCTGGTGGCTTGCTCCAGAGCGGGGGAGGCCAAGTGTGGCCTTGTCTTGGACCGCTTCCATTCCTGCAAACTCGAGACTTGAGCAATAATTGCCCTTAGGATCAGCTCCTGGGCTCTCCTGCGTGGGACCAGCCCTGCTCTGGCCCAGTGTGAGCACAGTGGAGGATGGTTTTACTGTGCCTTGCTGTGGTGTAACAGTGGCACCTCCTGCCTCTGTGGGTCTGACTGGGCCTGGGCGGAGGTGTACAGCAGGGCAGTGCAGCAGCTCTTCTGGGCCTGGTGCCCATCACCTGCTCTGGCTGTAACCAAAACCATTCTGATGGCCTTGAGGAGGAGATGAAGGAGCCAGGCCCTGTCAGATGGGGCTGCTCTTCTATCACAAATAAACAGACAGAAGGAGAAATGGCTCTGCCTTCTTGTTTTCTTGGCTTGCTGTGCTCAGAAGCTGTTCCAGGTGCTTGGTCCTGCCCCGTGTGGTTGGAGGCAGGGCTGGGAGAAGCAGCTAGTGTAGCAGGTTTATGTGTTGGGGGGGAAAGGGTGATAGTGGGGTGCTGATGAAGCAGATGGCAGATTGTTTCCAAGTGCTTTGGTAGAGCAGTGCTGAGGGCAGGAAATGTGTCATGGCTCCTGTTGTGAAAGTGGCTCCACCCTGTGAAAGAATGGCTGGGGTGGAGCATGGGTGTGGGCTGGGACTAGGGCGAGTGGCCCAGGAGGGGCTGCTGCTTTTCAGAAATCCACAGAGACCCTGGAAGCCCAGGTGATGGGGAAATGGCAGCCTGCTGCTTTCTGCATCTGCTGAAGCCAAAGCTGCTCCTGCCAGCTGTGCTATGCCCCTGCAAGATGGGTCTGCCACATGAGCTCAGGTTGGTCAGAGGAACGTTTGTGTTGCTGCCGCCTTGCTCTGGCAACAGAATTGCATCTTGCCTGGCTTGGCTCTGTTGTCTTGACTGCCTGAGACAGTTTGGCTTCCCTTCAGCACTGTTGGGGTGCAGTACTGCCTTCCCTGTCACCTTGTGACTGGGGCCCTCCTGAGCAAAGAGGCCAGCCTAGGTGCTGACTCAGGCTTGGGAAGAGGGGTGGGTGGCCAGCTGGGCTGCTTGAGGCTGGAAGGGTTGTGTCAGACTAGCAGGCCTCCAGAAGCTTAGTGTGGGAGGGCTTTGGTAGATGTCCAGCCAAAACCCTGGAGCAGAGCTTGGTGCAAGGGAAAGCTCTGATGACCTTGCCTGAACTGCTGTACGCCTCAAGGCTGTGCTCTGAAACAGGAAAAATCTCTTCAAGTGAGGTTGAACTGGTGTGACCAATATGCCCTGCTGCAGGGAGATGTCATCCCACTTTACAGGGCTCAGTGCCCTTGTATATATAAGCCTTAAAATGGGATCTGGCTGCTTCTCTGTGTAGTGTTCTCTGAGTTGTTGCTGCTTCTCTGGGGGCAAGGACGGGCAGGAGAGCTTGTTCTGGTCCCTGCTGAAGCAGCGTGTTAACTTGGTTCAGAGCTCAGAAGTCACCACTTCACAAGCTATAGGTGAAGTCCAGCTGGGATGGAGCTTTTCCCCTCTAGCTTTCTTCTTCCACTGCTCCTCCCCCCACACTGGCTCTTATAAAGGCAAGACTCTCTTTGTTTTTGTCCAAAATAGTAACAGTACTTTAAACTACTTTTGCTTGGCATTTTGAAATGGGCTGTTCTTTACATGTGCTCTGCTCTCCCTTCCTCCAGTTGTTCCTGTTAGCTGCAATCTTTCCCTGGGCTGGCCATGGCCCTTGGTAATTTATACACTGTCACAGTCAGTCTGGGTTGCTGCTCTGAACTGAAGTCACACCTTATATGGCAGCATTTCCTGGGCCTAATGGATCAGTGCCCAGCTCCTTCCTCTCCTCCTTGCCCCAGGGCCAATATGGAGCTAAAGGAAGGGACTGCAGTACCATCACCTTCTGTGAAGGAGGGAGGCAACACAGGCTCTGCTATTACAGAGGACTGAAGAAAGTACAGCAGCTTCCAGGCATCCAAAGCCTGCCTTCCAGGGCCAGGAACCACTGGAAGACTTAATCTGCTGGGGGCCCATTGGGCCATTCTGTGCTAACTCACACCACTGAACTGTAGGAATGTGGGGCAGGGCTCCTACAACAGCAGTACAGCTCTGGGGAAGAGCCTAACCTTGCTTCTGAAGAGGAAGGAGAGCTACCTTTTCCTCCCTTGGACCTCTCCTGCTCTTCCCCCTGTAGATGAATGGGGAAGCACTAACAGCCCTGCTGCAAAGTGTTTTTTGAAACTGTCCCCCCACTGTGCTCTGGGGGGTGTGGAATGCAAACTGTCTGGCCCCAGCACAGCACAATTTGGTGCCACCACTGCCCCCCCTTTGAAGGTTCCAGCTGCCTTAAAGCTCAGGAGGAAGAGCAGGAGCCTGGTGCTAGGTAGAGCAGAGTACTGTGCCGAACTGAAGGTGAAAACAGCTAATAATCCACCCTCAGATAATCCCAGACCAAGGGGAGATGGGGGCTTTGTATGGGCCAAGGTGCCAATTGGCTAATTGTGCAGTGTCCCTGGCCATGCTGCAGCAGCTGAAGGATGGGCTCAATGGGGCTGGTGCAGACCCCACAACCTCCAGACAGCACAGCTCCAACAGTGTCCTGGCTCTTGCTCAGGTGAAGGCTCAGATATGCTCTCTGTGACTGGCAACTACATAACAGACCTGGAAAAATGGCCTTTTTCCTATGTGTTCAGGAGTAAAGTGCTATCAAATGTCAGCTGAGCCCTGGTGCCTGCTCCCCTGCATACAGTATCAGCTTGGCACCAGGACTTCCCCTGAGCAGGAGGGGAGGACAGGGATGAGAACTTCTGGAAGGATAGGTGCCCAGGGGCTGTGCAGAGGGTGGATGGTGCTTTGGGAGGCTCTTTCATGACATCCAAGCTGGCTGTGGCAATGTAAACTAACCTTTTGTTTTGCATTGGGCTCTAAGCCATTGCCTGCCCCCTTTCTGGCCTTCAGGGTGGTTACAGCTGTTGCTGTGTCTTTCTAGCCCCTGTCCAACCTCTTTTTCCAATGGCATCTGGCTGCTAAATTCAGAACTAAACTCACTGCCAAAGTAGCTGCTCTACCCCAGAGCACTGGCTGCAGCAAAGAGGCTGCATGTGGCAGAACAAGACTCTTCAGCTCAGACCACCAGGAACAAGGCCCCTGACTGCTCTGGCCCCAGCCTTTACTGGTAGTAGGTGCCTCCAGAGACACAGTGAGGCCCACCTAACCAAGAGACAGGACCTACACCTACTCAGCTTATAGTTGAGCCTTTTCTTCCAGACTCGACCAAGAAGTCAAATTAAAGCAATTTATTAACATTTAAAATACTGTACACTGCTTAAGCCAAGTTTCCCCCCTCCCTACAGCTGCCCCATGCACTCATCGGATGCCCTGGTGAATGATGCTGCTTTTGGCACTGTTGGCCTTCTCTTTCTCCTTCTTCTTTATGGGGTCCATCTCAAAGCAGCGCCAAAGCCGCAGTGTTTCATCAGCAGCTGCTGAGGCCACTGTGGCACCATCAGGGCTCATAGTCAGATTCAGGACTCTGGCAGTGTGACCTGAGGAGGAGGTGTGCAGTCAGGGCTGGGCCAATCACCACCTGCCTTGGTCCTACCACAATAGTCTTATCTGCTCCCCTCTACCCTGAGCCCCACCGCTTGCATAGCTGTCCCCACACCATGCTGCAGCAGTATGCACACACACCCTAGATGTGCATTTAAAGTAACAGTTTCTTCAGCACCCTCAGGGGTGCAGCAGGCCCCTGGACACCATTCTGCATCACTGATGCTGCAGGCTTGACCACCCATCTACTCAAACCAAGGATTACATCTGCCTTCGGCGCTCCCTTCCCCAGGCAAAGGGCCTGACCTACCTCTCAGCTCAGTGACCTTGGCCATTGTTGGGTACTTCCATATAACCAGCTGATTCTGTGCAAATCCATGGCCTGAAATGAACTCCCTGTAGTTTGTTGACCACAGAATGGAACAGACCTAGGAAGAGGTAGTCGTGCGGGTGAGACCAACTGCCTGTGCTGATGCTCACCACCCAGAGGTGAGCATCGTTTCCTTTTGCATGCCTCTGGTCCTCAGGAACCATCAGCCCTGGGTAGGTGTCCTCCCAGAAGGTGTTCATCTTCATGTCTCACCTGAGAATGAGCATCAACAGCACTGAGGCAGGTGCCAGAACACACATTCCAGATGCGGATGTATCTGTCACTAGTCCCACCTCCAGTGGCTAGAACATTTGACTGCCACGGACACCACGCCACAGCCTGAGAGAAAAGGGTTAATTCAAAGACATGCGAGAGGCAACCTGGGCCCAGCCAGTTTGGCACCTCTGTCTTGCACAGACATGCCCACAACAGGCCTGCACTCACCTTGACAGCACCCTGGTGCTGAGTGAAGGTCTGTACAGGAGCAAAGTCCCCACTGTCCCCCTGAGTGCACGGCCAGATGTTCACCAGGTTGTCATTGCCACCACTGGCTAGGTAGCGGCCATCTAGAGACCACTTGAGTCCACACACCTCCTGTGTGTGGCCAGCAAGTGTGGCCACATGGTGCTCGGCCACTCTGACATCATGGTGGTGGATGTGGCCAGTCCGCGCCCCACTGCGGAGAGAAGGCTGGCAGTCAGGCTGGCACATTTTCACCAAAACCTATTTTTGTGCTGTTGCAACACTGTCGTACCTTCTGCTGGGTTTCAAACAGTGTTACCAGCATCTCTGGCTCGTTGGTGCGAGCAAAGCAGCCACAGAAGCTCAACTTCAGCACAAGGGGCAAGAGAGAAGAGAGGCCTTCTCCCCAAGTCCCAATAAAACAGGCTGAGTAAGGATCCCCAGCCAGGACAGAAGCTCCTCTGGCATCCCTAACCTGCACCACTCACAGATCTGAGATACAAGTCTGTGCAGCTGGACACTGCCCTCCAACCCCCGCCCACTGCTTTACCTGGAGAGGATGTAGCTGTTCCAGCTGAGGGACCCCACACGGGAAGAATGGCTGGTCATATTTCGGAGACGTTTCTGCTGCTGTATGTCCCATAGCTAGAAAGGCAGAGCAGTAAGTTCTCCAGAGGGTGAGGAAACCCAGCCCTTCTGCTTTTCTCTAGAAGCCACTGCAGAGGCTTGTCAGTATGGGAGCAGAAATAACTTGTATCTCATGCCTGAAGAGAGTAACTCCAGGTGTCAGAGACCTCCAGCCTCTGCCTTGCATGCTGCAGCTGGTCACTGGCTGTGGGCATTTCCATCCCACACCAGTCAAGACAGGTCAGGGTGCATTGCATCCTTCTCGTGCTAGCCAAGCCTTTGTTCCAAGGCCACACAGCTCCAGCAATCCCTAGACAACACCTCTAGTTTTATTCCCACACTCACCTGGACCTCAGCATTACTTGTGCCAACAGCAAGGTAGTTTCCTTCTTTAATCCACGACACAGAGGAAATGTAATCATCTGGATGCTCCATCTGCAGCAGCTGGATAATCTCCCCAGAGGTGTGATTCCACAGATACACTGAATTGTCCAGAGCAACAGCCAGGAAGTTCTGAGAGCTCCAGTCAATGAGATTCAGATCTACAATTTGAAAGAGCAATGTAGGTCACGATTCGCTTATCCAGAGAGCCCTGCCCTTCACCAGTGCTGATGCCAGACCTTCTACCTGCACCAGTTGTGTGTACACACAGGTAAGGGGCAACCTTCTGGGAGTGACTATGCCCAGCTGGTGGGGTCAAGCAGCCCTGATTCAAGTCAGCTACGCAGCTCTCTGGACCACTGTTCCTGCAAAGCTATGCAGGGACTCTCCAGAAGTGGCCTGTGCCAGCCTGGGCACGCAAGCCACTGAAACAGCCCAGTTACACTGTCCTAGGAGCTGCACTCCTGTGCAGAGCAGCCTCAGGACCCCCCTCCCTCTCAACACTGCGGCCTACTTACAATAATCATTGCGGATCTCCGGTGCATCCAAGATCCGGTCTGGCATTGAGGGAATGTATCTGCCATTCTTCCTGCTGGATCCAGGTGTCATTTTCTGACTGTAGAGCACTTTCAGGTTGTTCTGATAGCCTATGTGCAGAGGGACAGATTTGTTAATCTGAGGTACTGTCTCCTCCCAGCTGAGCACTGCCCACCCAGCTAGAAATCCCTGCCTGTGAAAGTGAAGTCCTTAGAGAAGAGGCAGGCCCAGAAGAGCACAGTGTACCAGCATCACTGGCAGTACAAACTGCTGAAACAGGGTAAGCTCAGATTCTCAGATTCACAGGAACAAATTTAGCTGACAAGCTTGATTTTCTGCATGCCTTTGTGTTTAGCAACAGTCAAGCTACAGAGCGCACTGCAGAGAGTCTGAAGCTTTTGCAGGCCTCAGGAAGGGTTGTCACCTGCAGTGCAAGTAAGCGGCTGGCAGTAATTTTGACTTCTGTAAATAGGTTCATTGTAGCCGTTACACAGCCCATCAACCTCAAGAACCCTAAAGAGGGAGACTCCAGTGTGCACAGGAGCTCTGAGAAGAGACCAGTTGACTTCTCTTGTGTCCACAGAGAGGGCCTCTGTGTTGCTGTTCCTCTGCCCAGATCTCTCCACCTCAGCCGACTCACACAAACCCTGCGTCATACCTTCCGGAGCATTCTGTGGCTTTCCACTGAGGCGGAGGATCTTTGCCTCTTCTATATCAAAACCATTCAGATTCACTCCCCAGGCTTTCTGTTGCTCCTGCAGAGACAAACCACCTTCAGTGAGATACATTTGAAGCAAAGCCCATGTGCAGTTCTCCCATGCAGCTGGCAGAGCACACAACTAAGCCTTCTTCTCCTAGAACCAGGAAGCATAGCGCAGCATTATGGAAGTCAGATGCAGGCAGGTCGAAGGAGTTTTTCCTTAGACACTGGCATGCTGTCCTGCTCACATTTTCATAGAGAAGAGCAGCAAGTTCAGGGTCTCATTGCCAGTGGGGAAAGCCACAGCAGACAAATGTTTTGTGAACAGCTTTCACAACACAGCACACGCATTCCAGAATAGCTCCCCGTGTCAACATCATCCTAGAATAGCTACTAGCTACCACCAGCAGTTTCACGGTGCACAGCCTCACAGCTTTGTGTCTCTGTAGTCTGACATTTTAAAGCCTCGTTAAGCCAAAGTTAAATTTTGAAGCCAGAAGTGGCACAGACTAGAGAGCATGGAAGCAGAGGTGTAAGGCTCTATGCTTTTCCCTGTGCCTGGGGAAAGCATGCTACAGAGCACCTATGCTCAGGCTCCTGAGCATGTACCTGTTCCATCTGCAGGGTCTACAGCTTCCATGTCATCCCAGGCTCCTGAAGCCCAGAGCTGGTAGCAGTGGTGGCTGGGGCAGTCAGCCCCAGGTGTCCACTTGGTAGAACTTACAGTTTGCTTCTCTGGAGAAGGCTGAAGGGCTGGATGTTTGGTAGCGATTATTGTAGTAACTGTAACTTAGCAACAGGCTCACCTTCTTGGTAGGGGACTCCTCAGCAGGATCATTCTCTTTGGTCAGGAGGAAATTGGCCATATCCATCTGCATAGTGCTGCGGTTGGGAATGAAGCGATCCCCCCCGGCCTTTGTTGGGGTGCACTGGATTTTGGATCCAGATTTACCTGCATTCACGTGCATAAATATTGTCTTACAGCTATTGAACAGCCCATATTAGAGCTTTGAAGAGACAGCGAGCCCATCCAGCACCCTTCTGTATTACACCTATCAGACAAGTTCTAGACAAGCAGGACTCAGAGCTCCTGCCATCCAGTCACAACTAGCACATTCATAACCCCCCCCCCCCCCCCCCAAAGCTCTGTTTAGGGACTGTCAGGAGACAACTCTTTAGATCTAGAACAACAATTTCAGAGTTCAGAGATCATGGAAAGATGCGAAAACACTTCTAGAGGATGTAAAGGCGTCAGCAAACAGCCCTACCCACACTTGTCCCTGCACGCAGCTGTGCCAGAAAGGCTCAGCCGAGGGCTCGGCAGTTCA